GAGGTCAGAGATCACTGGGCTCTTTTAAATTGCAGTGATAATAAGTCCAGGAGAAGGAAAACCAGCCTAAAAAGAGATGACCCCTATCAGGCTAAATCTTGCTCTAGGCCAGTGTTTGGTGTTCCCTGGAATTCCAAGGTTCCATAACAGGACATTGGGACTGGGAAACAGTGATAAATAAGCTTATGCATTTTTATGTGATTTTTGTTTAATTTTATATTCATAATTTTACAACACAGGTATGGCATATTGTGGGAAAATCCTTGGTTATTATACTAAATTATAATGATAATCGTTATTCAGGTTTATTTTTTGTGTGTATTTACAGAATGAAGACCTCAGTGTGAGGACTCCTAAATGGGCAATACAACTTTCTTTGCATTTCCAATACATTTGACAAAAAAAGGGGTCATTTTTTAACTTAAACCAGTTATCTGAAAAAAAAAATCTTTACCATGTAAACTATGATAAAAATATAAAAGAGATATATATTAATAATGGTATATAATGATTTTTGTACAGGATTCCCTGAGATATGAAAACTATTTCAGGAGTGGCACAAGGGTAAAACAGTTTAGAAACAATACACTAGACACACTGCTCCTGCTATAACTGCAGTATACATAGTGCGCTACAAACCTAATGGGTTATGGGATTTGTGACATGATATGATGATTTGAATGTTATTGGAATTTTAGCTATGATTTTTTGGGGGGTTCAGTTCAAAATGAGTTTCTAATATTTGGGAATAAAAGTGGGTCATATAGGTTTTCAAATGGTGGACAGACAGTTGCATACTGGACATTTTCATCCCGGACAATTGCATACCAGACAATTGCATCCCTGGACATTTGGTGTCCTGAGACAAATGCGTCCCTGGATAATTGCATACCTCGGATAATTTTTGAAGAATGGTAGTGCTATGCACGTGATATGAAGTCTAAAAATTGCTAGAGTTACTCCCTGGGTTTATCAATTCAGGTAATATTAAGTGCTGTTGTTTGTTGTGTGTGATTGCAGGGAAATTTAGTGAGATTTACAATATGTCCTATGTATGCTCAATGGGTTTTAAATCTGGTGAGCATTGGGTCTAATAGTATATCTGGTAGTCAATTCAGTGTTCCTGGAATCAGTTTTACATCACTTGAGCATGATGCGTTCAGGTGCATTATCCTGTGGGAATAAAGCATCATCACTGAGAAATATGGCAAGTAGAAAAGGGGGCTTAGATGGTCTGCAAAAAGATCTTTGTATATCCCACCTGTCAAGATGGAGTTTCACTATTGGTTTTTGAAGACTAACAAAATATACTTAATACCATTACAGAGCTACTAAAGCTTCCACAATATCCTGCTTAGAGGCTAGATCCGTAACTTAATTTGGTTTTCCTCTGGTGAATGGAAAACCAGACAATTACATCCCTGGACAAATGTGCCCTGGATAATTGTGTACCTCTGATAATTCTTGAAGTTTTCATTTTTTTTCAACATGACCATTTTATAAAAGCTGACGTGCCAAAATTTTCATTAATAGTCATTATCAAAACAAACATTCAGAAGATGATTAAAGACTTTTAGAAGATATTAAAAGATTTTTGGCAGCGTATAACTTATCAATACATTGATTCTTTTATTCTTTGATAGTCTTTAACACAATATTTTACTTATGCGTCTGTTGCATTCAGCCAACCTTTATGTGCATCATATGCACATTATAATTTCCATTTCTTTTATGCATCTAGTCATTTCAGAAATGTGGGTGATCATGGCTCTCCACAATTTCCTGTTTTTGTTGTTCAAAATAACTTTTAAACCTTTAACATCCCTCCTTGTCCCAGTAGAATAAGCAGATATGGTTAAGCATAATTGATAAAAACCTCAATCGTAAATCAACGAAATTCTCAATAAATAATTTTTTTTTTCTTCAGAGAGAGTGGGAGAAAAAGAAAACTTCTCTATGCCAAATATTAAAAAAAGGCACTTACAGTAACGAAGAAGACTTGAAACTACTATGTCAGATTTGAGGTGGACAGACAGTTGCATACCAGACATTTGTGTACCAGACAATTGCATCCCTAGACAAATGCATCTCTAGATAATTGCATACCTCTGATAATTTTTTGAAGTTACCATATTTTCTTTTCTTAAGTGTTGCTAATTGCAAACCAAATTTTAATTATTCTAAACAAGCAAAGAGGTAGTTAACATAAATTTTAAAATAAAAAAACATTTTTGTTTTTAAACAGTTGTTTTATGTAGAAAGTTGCACACCAATACCTTTTAATTACTCTAAACAAGCAGATAGTAGTTACTATAAATAAAAGAAGAGAGAAAAATTTCTTTTTTAAAGCAAGAAAAAAATTAAGCTAGCAGTTTCAGTTCACTCCAGCAGTGCATACGACAAACATCTAATATATTCTTGATTTTATAGATTATATTTTTATTTGTGTTATATATTCCGTGCTAATAGAAATATATACTTGAAAAACAAGGTGGATAAAATAAGTAAAGGTTTATTGTAAAAACCAGTACAATAAGAATAAAGGTAACAGTTATGCACAAGATCGTCGCAAGTCAATCCATTAGTGAGAGCAACTATTGGAAGGTCGGTAGTTCTCATATAAGTTTGAGTTGTACTCAATAGATCCCAGCTAGTATATTTAGCTTCCACCCCCCACGAGGGTTGCATGTGGCACAAGGCCGGTTTAATGCAGGTTCTCCAAGCCCGTAGACTCAGCCAAAAATATTCCTTTTTTGAACCCACATAAACAGGTTCAGGTGCAGTCTACCTCCCCAAACGAGACTCTGCTCTTCAGCGGAACATCGTCTGGATTCCTCTCTGCCCAAAGGCAGAGAGTTCAACTGTTTAGCGGGAACAGATCCCAGCTAGTCTTTCTAGTCCGTTGATTTACAGACACTTATAGGTAGTTACTACCTATAAGTGTAGTCACTCATGGGGGTGGCAGGTGGCCATTACATCAATTTGGAACCCTGTGTCTAAGTTCCAAAAATCAAACACTCGTGGAAAAATATTTGTGGACATGGAAAATTACAACTGCCACTATCATAAGAACAATCCCGATTAAACAAAAACATACTGGCAAAGTGTAGAGCTATGTTGAGAAATCTATTAATCTGTCATTGCATTTTAAACATAAATTATATGGTAATTGCCTTTAAAAGCTTTAAAAAATTATTAAAGGTACACAATTATCCAGGGATGCATTTGTCTAGAGACAGAAATGTCTGGTATTCAATTTCTCAATGTCCAGTATGCAACTGTCCTAGAATTGCTTTCAAATATAGGAGTATAAGGCATTACATTATTTACATTATTCGGACTATTGTCTCCATCTTTGTCGCCATATTTATTACAACGTTTCAGCCGTTGTACGCTCCGGCCTTCTTCAGGTGGTTGAATGTTGAACTGAATCCTTTATTTCACTCACTGTGGTAGACTGTTCTAGTTCCACGTGCCATGTTTGATGGATGTCAGTTATCAGTTATCTCCGGTTAATTTCCCTCTGAAAGTTCTCCACTGCCTTAACCGGGTATTGATCTCACACTCTTTGGGTCCTGTCAAATTTGTCAGTGTTGATAGCCAACTGTGGATATTCTGTTTGGATTTACTTCCATGGCTTTTCTATGTTTGGATATGGCTACAAGGCAATGGAGGTTTAAAATCAGCTTTTTCTTGCTCCAGATGGACTGCCTTCCTGAGCTGATGAGCTCCATCTACCCAAAGCAAGTGCTTATGAGACACCAGTGATCTGACTTCATCACTCTTCCAGCTTGGAGCTGGACTTAGTTGTCAGAAGCTATTTATAATGCATGCCATGAGAGCATTTTATAGAGTAGGAGATCAATCTAAGTGCCACTCCCAGCAATGACAACTTTTAAAACATATATATCCATTATATGTTTTAGAAGCTCCCAAAAAATTAACAGATTTAAAAAAAAAAATGATGTTAGATAAACAAAAATACTAGTAAGCAAGACAAATTACAAAATAGTCATACATAAATAAACAAACAATAGTATCAAAAAGTTTAATAACTGGAAAAAATAGAAAAAATATAAATTGTGATTTAAGCCTAAATTACATGGATAAGTCATTATTTATAACATACAATAAAAATAATCTATACTACATTTGTGACAATACTAAAACCTAAACAAATAAATGAGAATAGAAAAAGAAAAATTGATAAATAGAACTTTAGGTAGGCAAAATCAGAGAATAAAATATCAAAATGGTAGTCAAAAACTGTAGTCAAAAATTCATAATGTCAATGACTACTTCATTCATGTTCCCTGTTGAGCCCTGGTCAAAACTGTAGTCAAAAATTCATAATGTCAATCACTACTTCATTCATGTTCCCTGTTGAGCCCTGGTAAAAACTGTACTCAAAAATTCATAATGTCAATCACTACTTCATTCATGTTTCCTGTTGAGCCCTGGTAAAAACTGTACTCAAAAATTCATAATGTCAATCACTACTTCATTCATGTTCCCTGTTGAGCCCTGGTCAAAACTGTAGTCAAAAATTCATCTCAATAAATATTTCATCCATGTTCTCTATTTCGCCCAGTTCAAAATGGTCATCAAAAATTCATAATTTTAATTACAACTTAATCCATGATTGCTATTTAGTGCAGTTCAAAGTGGTAATGAAAAATTCATAATGTCACTGTCTACTTTGTCCATATTTCCTATTTGGTACAGGTCAAATTGGTAGTCAAATATTTATGTGATGTGTTTACAATCATAAATTCAAAAGGCTTCCTGACTTAAGCCCTTTTTATATTAGATACTGTTATTTGCATTATCTATTTTCATGATTATCTTTCTATTTACAGGTGAAACATGCAGAGAATTATGGAGCAATTGGTGCCATTCTTTATGCAGATCCTTTTGACTATGCATCTAAACTGTCCAGTGTATACCCATCATCATGGTGGTTACCACCATGGGCAGTAAAACTATCCCATGTGCGGTATATGCTCAGTGGTGATCCTCAGACACCAGCTTATGCAGCTTTAGGTAAGACCAAAGATCATTGGGCTTTATCTATGATTTGGAAAAGGCTTTGCTCTTATGACAGCTGTGAGCAAGGATTTCAGTATTAGCTGATCTCTCTTTATATACATCTGACCTTAAGTGTATATCTGTTGTTGTCCTTTTTCATTTGTTGAGAAAAGATACAAGAAATTGATTTGTTTATTTCTTCATTCATTATTTTCTTTCTTTTTATCTTATTTTCTCTATATATTTGCATACCTGTTCAAAATTATCTGCATATTTATCTCATTCTTTTATTATAGCTTTCTTTTTCCATATATGACTGTTCATATCTCAGTTTGTTGCTTAGCAATCTTATCATTTGCACATGTTCCTATTATTTATCTACCTATCACATCATATTATTATTCCAGCTTGATAAAATTTTTGAAAACAGTTGTAATTCATTTGATACAGGTTTTTGTTAATGAATATATAGTTTAATTAAGATTTGTTGATTATCTGAAAAAAAAAAGAGATTTTTTTTTTAATATTAGAGGCTCACTTACTTTTGTGCAGCACTGTGTATATATAATGGAATCCCCCGTCGGTTTCAACATATGAGGATCTGACAACTTAACCAATCAATTCAGTAATGAATTTTGTGCAATAATTTTAAATGCCACTTAAGACCCACAAGTGATTTGCAAAGGAAGCTGCATATGGAGCAAGAGTGAGGATTATGGGATGAGGTCATTGTTAGATTGGCTGATTTTTTAGATCTTGCTCTCACTTCTTGAAGACAATTCGAACTAGCAGATTGAAAACAACTGAGTCCACTAAAACATGTTGATCTCCACTATAATCACTCCAAGGCTAAGCGCTCAAGGGTGTTATGAGGTATGTTGACAGCTGACAAGTTGCTCTTCAGCTTGTCTTTGTATCTAAGCCATGGACATCCTACATTCTTGTCACCCTGATCTAACTGGTTGTACATTAGGATCTTGGATATTCTGTCATCAGACATCCTCAAGACATGACCAGTCCACCGCAAGGAAATTCTCAATATCTCCAATATTACACCTGTTAAACAGGTCTACATTGGATGTCCTCTCTTGAAGGTTAACTCCACAGATAGCATGCAGACAGCTCCTATGGAAAACATCCAGCTGGCATATATGGTACCTGTATGGAGTCCACATACAAAAGTATGGCAAGGACAAACGCTCTGTAAACCTGAATTTTTGTATCCAGTTGGATACCATGCTCATCCCAAAAGTGATGGCAAAGTTTGCTGAAGGCACTGGTAACCTTAATAATCCAATGCATGATTTCATCATCTAAAGATCCACTGTAGTTGTCGTTGCTACCAAGATAGGTGAAAGACTTTACATAGTTCAGGGCTTTGTCTTCTACTTTTAATCATCTCTCTGAAAATTTGTAGACTGGTGGTTTTTGTTTCACACCATGGAATTGCTTCAGAGTAGGACATGGTTGGTGCACTACTTCAGTTTTCTTTGTGCTAAGTGTAAGACCAAAGGCTTTACATGCAGCAGAGAAATGATTTAGTAGATGCTGGCCCTACTCAAATGATGTTGCAGCAAGAGCATCATCATCGGCAATCAATAAATCGTGGATAATTTGTGTATGAAGGTCAGTCTTGGCTTTGAAGCACAGATGATTGAAGAGTCCACCAGTTGTTGGAAACTGAAACTTGACGCCGCTCACTGTCTGCAAATGTGAATTTCAGCATCACCAAGAAGAAAAGTGCAAAATTGACAGGGGCCATGACACACCTTTGCTTGGTGCCATTTGTGACATCAAAGGATTCTGACATCATACCATCAGATATGATATTAGCTTCCATTCCTACATGAAAGAAGATGATTGCCTTTAGCATGTTTTCTGGGATGTCGAGTTTCCTCAAGACTTGCCAAAGAGCCTCTCAATTCACAGTGTCAAAGGCTTTTCACCAAGTCCACAAACACCATGTACAACTCGTGGTTTTTCTCATAAACCTTCTCTGCAACTTGACAAAGAGAAAATATCATGTTAATTGTGCCATGACCTGACCAAAAACAACACTGCAATTCAGGATAGATGTCGTCAACAAAATGTATAATGATTCTGTTTAGAATTAGTCTAGCTAGAATTTTGCCTGCAATAGAAAAGAGTGATATTCCCAGATGATTATCACAGACACTCATGATAGCCTTGTTTTTGTAGAGGTGTTTGGTAGAGGCATCTTTATAATCCTGTGGGACACAGCCTGGCTTCCATATCTCCACGAGAAGCAGATGCAACTTTTTACCAACTTTTGGCCACCATGCTTATACACTTCAGGTGAAATAGGATCCTTAGGTGTAGGTGATTTTCCAGATGAGATCTGCTTGATGGAGTCACTTACCTCTTGATAGGTAGATTCAAAAGACAAGTCTGGAATTTCTGGATTTTGCATAATTGATGAGATGGTTTTTTTCATCAGTAACTGAAGTGATGTTTAACGCAGTTTTGAAGCACTCTTTCCAGTGATCCAAAATATCCATCAAGAGAATTTCACCATCTGCTGTGGAGATTGGAGCAACACCACTTTTCTGAAGACAGAAAACATTCTTGAGGGCAAGATAGAAAGCCTTTAAATCCTTTTTATATGAAGACTAGCAGTAGAGCCCGGTGTTTCCCGGGGATGTAACAGTAAGAGATAGATCAAGTATCGACCATCATAAAGACTGAAAAATAAAATTGACAAAGATTATTGTTTAAGGTTGATGGACACACGTCTTAATTAGTTTTTTTTTTTTTTACGAATTGGTCAAACTCAAACAAAAACATTGTTTTCAATGGTTATAAGCCTACCGATTGAATAGAATTTTATTATAAACAATTGTCTTGTAAATGGAATTTTTAAAGCATTCTGAATGTAAAAATGAAGAAAAAAAAGTGTGCAAGACAATAAGAAACACTACCTGTCAAAAAAAAAGTGAAGTTTTGTTGAAATCGGTTGAAAAATGTAGAAAATGCGATCCCATATATAAATGAACACACACACACAAACAACCTGGCTTTTATAATAAGTATAACTCGATATGAGTTGTCCCCCCTTTCATTCTCGTGATGCCTCTTAATCATGTTTTCAAATTGATTTTGTGCAAAAACAATTGTGTTTTTCCCATTTTTGGCACTGTTAGAACCACTACAAGGTAATTTTACGTAGTCCTGTGAAGTTTTATTGAAATCGGTTAAAAAATGTAGGAAATCCGATCCAATATATAAACGTACAGACACACACAATCTGCGTTTTATAATAAGTAAGATTCTTGGAGTTCAGTGGTCTTTTCAGACCACCAATGGTCTTTCATGGCTCTGAGAGCTCATTGGACATGACTTTTGCACTTCTTGTAAGTCATCTTCTTAGTGGACAAGTTCTTGTCCTCAATCCATGCTTTATGAGAAGAGTGCATTTGATCTATAAGCTGCTGACCCTCTGTATTAATGTCATCAAACCATCTTGGTGTTTCTGATGTGATAGTCTGAGAACCTCCAAGGATACAGAATGGGTTGCATTCCGCAGAGCCTTCCAAGATGATTCGATATCATTGGTAATGTTTATAGAATCAAGTGCAGCATCAACTTTGTCAGAGATCTCAATTTTCATTTCAGTTGATTTAAGAGGCAGTTTATTAATGCACTTGAGCACTGTAGAATTTATAATCCTTTCACTTTTGATGCAGTGTAGACTTACTTTGAAGTAGAGTGTGATCTGACAGATAACAAGTTCTGTGGAACGAATGAGTGATCTTAAAATCTTTTATGTCCCTTCTTTTGGTGATGACATAGTTGATCAGATGCTAGTCTTTTGACCAAGGGTGCATCCACATTGTCTTATGACAGCTGGGTTGCTGGTAGAGGGTATTAATACTAAGGTCAAATTCCTTGCAGATAGAATATAAAGTTTAATTAAGATTTGTTGATTATCTGAAAAAAAAAGACATTTTTTTAATATTATCTTAGGGGCTCATTTACTTTTGTGCAGCACTGTGTGTGTGTGTATATATATATATATATATATATATATATATATATATATGACTAAAATATAGTTTTGAGGTATGCTATATTTATGGGTAAAGATGCTCATTATCAGGGATAGAGTGTGTATAAATATAAGAAGGTACTCTGAGATGACAGTTTGTTTCTTGGTCGAATGGAATCTTCAGACCATGTGTACTTAGTTGTAGCTCAACTATTTATATATACTGGTCAAAGGGTCATTATGAGATGTAAAGTCACGTATTTCTGGTCTGTTGTATTATCCTAATGGAATGTGACTGAGTAGAAATAATTATGGACCAGAATGTGGTTATTTCATAGCTACTGTATATATATATATATATATATATATATATATATGTACATTGAATAATATTAACAATATTGCTTTTAGCTTGTTCAGATTCAATTCATTTGTGGAACATTATTTATTTCCTTTCTTTTTTTATTTTTTTGCAAAGCAAACTAAATAGAAAAAAAAAATTTGTTTTGGTTTTGACCCTGGAGATATTTGTAATAGTCAAAGATAAAATGTAGCCATTGATTTGTACAGTATCAGCTATCTTCCTTTTTGGATCTGTGTCCATTCAAATCTCTACAGGCTACTAAATGAGATCTGCAACTTTTAAATTAGAAATTTTTGTATAAAATATAGTTTTTTTTTTTTTTATTTTGTTGTTGCATTCAGCAACAAGGTATAAATACAGAACTTCTGTAGTGTGTTATAAATTTTATTTGTATGCAACTGATATTTAGTAACAGAAGCCAGAAAGTAGATTATTATTATTGTTTTATTTCCTTTGGTTTCTGGTGTATACTCATTTCTTTCCAGGTTCCGACCAGAGATCTAAGGTCAGAAATGGTATTCATAACATTTTCTACTTAGCAAGTCTCCCTGGGACTCCAGGACCCAGCTCAGTATTATAGCTAATTTCAATAATGTAATACTGCAGATGATTTTTGCTCTTCTTCATTAAGTTTCCAGTTTTTTT